GCAGGACCTGGTCTATATTACAGCAGCAGCTGATGCTGTGTAACAAGAAGCAGCCACATGAGAGTGCAGAACATTGTTCAAAGAAATACAGAACGACAACATAATTGTTACATCTTATTTGCTCTGTTTCATTCATCTGAAAAACAGAGGCGAGAACTTTTGTCTGTCATGCGTTTATTGGCATGCAAGAAAACCTCCCCCTGTAAGTGGACCCTAATATAATTATTTTAACAAAAGAAAAAAGATATATATGTAGTATATACGGTATACATCATTATAATAAGGCACTCACACTTTTGACAGAATATACTTTAACAAAGAAATCCTTTAGGTCCCATGGTAATCCCAGTGGTAATGCACGGTAAAATGCGTCTTTGTACTGCATTCACACAAAACATGGTAGCACATCATCCATTTAGACACACAGCTACAATAATGGGCAACATACCAACTTCACAGCACACCACAGCGCACATGTGCCATGTCTTTCTTTTTGTGCATGACGGTGCACTTCCAGCTCATTCGAAAAACAAATGGGCTTCTTTAACGCACAATAACATGTTAATACAATTCATAGTGTGACTGGGCCCTCAGTGCTGATGCATGATTCAGTGGGACACAGTCCATCTTTCTCAAGGTGACTGTTCCTCAACATAACATTGGTCCGTATTACTCTAAGTACAGAAATAAATCAAATAACTGCCAATTCTTTTGTTTTTTTAATGTATTTTTGCAGGTCTCCCGGCTCAGGCCAAACAACATGCCGAATCAGCTAAAAGCATCCTACTTAGAGGAGTTGACATGACAAAATCTTCCAAGGAAAAGAGAGGAATCTTGGGGACTCTAGTGACTATTTACTATACATTGGGCATGGCGCACCTGATGGAGAACAAATATCAATTCATACAAAAGTGTGACCATACTTTATATATATATATATATATATAGGAAATGTGTGTTTGCCATAATAGTCACTGGCCAAGCTACAATGATAATGATGAGAAAGATTGCCAAGGGTACATGTCCGGGATCCCAGCCAGCTCACTGACGGCACTGGTTGCCAGGGGCTCGGTGGGATGCCAGCCAGAGCATTGCCCTCAGCTCCTGCCAATCAGGGATGTCAGTGAGCTGGGTGGGACACCACACATTAAAGGTTGCTAAGTAAGAGCTCTTGGGAACCAGGGATGATGTGTCCTCCCTACCTGCCACCCTCCAATGAGATGCCACCTGAGACAAGCGCCTCAGGCTGCCTCATTATTGAAACAGCCCTGAGGACTATTATATTAGGGGATGCATTCGGCAGTGTGGTCTGGTATGTATTGGACTGTACAGTCATATAAGACACACTGATGAAAAACTATTGAAATGGAGGTTGTTAGTGCAATGCCTGCCTGGCTATATATTTATTTCTGTCATTTAAAATAGGCCATAAAAAGCCATGCGGGTGTCTCATTGAGAATGACCTACAGTAAGACATCTGCTGTTCATTAACTAATGGGAACCGCAGAGATTTTCTTAATGATACCCACATGGAAGACCTACTTGGGCTGATTCTCTTTCAACCATTGCAGGTGATCTCAGAACACAGGATGGCACAATGTCATTGTGTGATAAAACAATAGAAAGAGTAACTGCGTCACACACTGAGTCCCTCCTACGAATAGTAAAAATAACTCGCTAGAAATTCACAATCATTTCCCATTAAACACATACTGTCGTTCTTGTCATTGTTCATTTCTGTGTGATAGTATAATAACAATGTGCCCTGGTGTATGTAATAATTGTGCATTCAGAGATCATTTTCTTAACTGTCACACTGGCAGAGAGGCGCACATCAGTTTACAGAAGGTGGAGAAAATTGTGGAGGAGCTAGAAGAGCTTCAGGAGAAGGAGTCTGTTACTGGGAAAATATCAGAGAAAGACATTGCTTTGGCATTAGGAAGGTTATTATTATTTATTTATTTGTAAAAATCCTCCAGCACTTAAAGCTGAACTCTGGCCGGTCTTGTACGGTTGTACCCGCTCCTCTCCTAAGCTGAAATTGCTCACTGCACAAAATCTGCATCATCAACAACGTTTTATTACACATTTTCATTAGCATGCACTTACTTTTTAGTGCCCAAAACCACAATAGAATACCCATTTTTTGGTAAAATAGAAAAGATGAGGTTACATCGAGTAAATAGATACCCAACATGCCCAGGGTAAAAATTGCGTGCGTCCTTACAACGGCGACACAGTATGGTACCCCAAATTGTCCATGGGCGCGTTTTAAAAGCCCCTACAAGTCATCAGTTTAGTAGAGATACCCGAAAATATTGGCCCCAGAATTATTGCTCTCACCCTGGCATGCACGGCGATACCCAAAATGTGCAGCACGCTCCCCACCGACACCTGAGATGCCGGGCCTGCAGGAGGAGAGAAACAAGGCAGTTGTGCCGGCAGGAGGGGGGGCACACTATACCGGCCCCTGGAAGAGATCTGGCGGCACCTTAGCTGCCGGAATCGCTTCCATTGTAAAGCCGATAGTCGACTTTACCAATGTAAACATAGTCCCAGCGGTCTGCCAGCGGCGTACTACATACGAAAGGGTTAAAGAATAACTAAAGTTGGGGGGGCTCAGAAAAACAAAAACTGCTGCGGTCATGTGAATGACGAATGCATCAGCTCGTTATTCATTAATGCATCATTCAGTGTATTTTTAAATACAAGCAATGTATGTACCTTAATCTGACCTGGTAGCAGCCTAATCCCTGTACAACAGAGCTCAGAATGAGTGAGGGAGAAACAGCGCAAGGAGCCAATCAGGTATGCTGCAGTGCTCATGTGCAAACAGAGGGCATGCTGATAGGAGGAGAAAGCAGAATGACAGAGAGATGAACACATCAGTCTGCTGCTTCCCTACATATCAAAATTGGATGGACAGAAATACAAATCCTTTTGCAGCTAAAACAGCTCCCTTGTATGTATTTCATCTGTGTATATAGCTGTTTGCCTGGAGTTCAGCTTTACGTTTCCTCTGGCATGACTTTTATGACAGGTTTACTAAATTCCTTTCAATCATCATATTGCAGAGCTTGCTTGATCCAGAACAAATCTAGTTCTGCCATGAATTACTTTGAGCGAGCTGCGGAGCTTGTTGTTTCCAGTGAAGGGGACAGTTCTCCTGAGCTTGTCAGCATTTACCGGGATATGGCCAAAGCTGAGCAGAAGAGGAAGAGACATGACCAGGCCATACAACACTTACTGCAGGTAAAATCGTGTAAATATCTCCACTACGAATGTTTTATTTAGATGTGGATAGAAAAGGCAAAGGGGTAGAGCCCTGTTGCCCAACCTGGGGCCCGTGGGCCACCTCTGCCCCCTTGGCACTTGTGCGGCCCCTGCAGTTCACCTTTTAAAAATAATAAACTATGCAGTCCCTGACCTGATCAATATTGTAATATTGTCATTAGATCAAAAGCCATACCCAGGAAAAAGGTAATCTGCCCATCTTGCCGAAGTTCTGGGGACCAGGAACACGCCGACCATTAGGAGCTCGCTCCCAGCATCCTATGAGTGAGCATGCTTCTACGTTCCAATCCCATGTGTGCACAGAGTGCTCTCTATCAGCCTTTGCCGCTACAGGGTCTCCTGAAGTATTCAATGAACATTATTTGCAGCCCTTTGTTGATCCTGCACATGAGGCCACTTATATCAGGAAGGTTGACCACCATTGGGTTAGAGTCCTTTGTTGGCCTGCACTTGAGGCCCCTTATATCAGGAAAGTTGACCACCATTGGGTTAGAGTCCTTTGTTGGCCTGTACTTGAGGCCCCTGATATCAGGAAAGTTGACCACCATTGGGTTAGAGTCCTTTGTTGGCCTGCACTTGAGGCCCCTGATATCAGGAAAGTTGACCACCATTGGGTTAGAGTCCTTTGTTGGCCTGCACTTGAGGCCCCTGATATCAGGAAAGTTGACCACCATTGGGTTAGAGTCCTTTGTTGGCCTGCACTTGAGGCCCCTGATATCAGGAAAGTGACACCGCTATATCAATGCGGGATCTGAGCGGTGTGAGGGAGACTCGGCGGTGTCGGGTACAGGCTAAGCTGCTGTGGCCGCGGCTGTGAATGTCAGTGCTTCGGATCGGACTGGAGCAGTGCGTGGGAGCCGGTATGCGGGAGTGCTGACAGGCGGCGGGCGGTCAGATCCGTGATGGTGATGGGATGGAGGTTGTTACGGGAAGAAGAGCAACACGTTTCGAGGTATCACCTCTTTATCAAGCTCGGATAGAACGATATGGCGGTGGCGGGAATCCGCCGGTTTAAAAGTGGCAGGTGGGCGGAGCTAAAAGCAATAAGCGGCAATCCCGCTGAGGACAGGGCTACTGGGCAAGGGCATGTATTAAACAGCTCAGTGTACATTGGGGCCATGTCAGACTGATTGAAAAGGGGGAGAACAATGGGAAAAACTCGCTGTATTTGATTTTATTATTATAAATAAATAGGGGGGAAGGTCATCCATTAAAGAGGGTACTTTATTTAAGAGGTTACTTTGTTTAAAAACATTAAAAGTTGTCTTACAGGAAATAAAAGGAAATAATTAAAGGAGAATTAATTCAAATTAAAAAAGCGAAATTGCATTGCAGAACCGTCCTTACTCATCATGGTGGACACTCTTTGTTACCCTTAATCATCATGGGGGACACTCTTTGTTACCCTTAATCATCATGGGGGACACTCTTTGTTACCCTTAATCATCATGGGGGACACTCTTTGTTACCCTTAATCATCATGGGGGACACTCTTTGTTACCCTTAATCATCATGGGGGACACTCTTTGTTACCCTTAATCATCATGGGGGACACTGGGTGGGTGGGAGACAAATGTGTTTCTAGTTCCAGTGTACTGACACTTGAAATGGTCATAAAGGGCGTTGGTTTGGGATGTTTTATATAATAGTCAATACTTACACTTGCAGAGCGTTCACTTCCTGCTTTGTAAGGGCAAAACGACTTCAGTTTGGTAGAGCAATGCACGCTGGGATTGCCTTGTCATCAGCAGAGCATTGCTGGGAAATCTCATCTGTAATCTCATGAGATCTCAGGGAAGTAAAAGGAGGGCTAGTAATCTGCACTTAGTAAACATGGCCACTGTCAGCAGACTGGGGAAGAACAGAGAAATAAGGAATGCAAAGAATACAAAGCCGGCAATTATCTAGAAGAATGTGTTTGTAGATTGTCATCACTAAACATTTCTAAAGGTGTGTTTGTTGTTATTTTAAAGATTATGGGTAAAGGTCCGCTTTCATTCTGTGCAGTGACAATGTTCTTCCTTCTTCCAGGCTCATTCTATCTGTCAGTCAGTGTATAAACCTCTCAGTGTGGATGCTGCACAGACTGGCCTGTTATTAGCCAAAGCATACGCAGCACCGGGGAGCTCCGACTACAGCGGTGAGATCTGTTTTATATATGATATGGTCACACTTGTCCATTTTCATGCAGCAAAACCCCGGCATAGAAATCCCATTACTTCCGGTATGGTTCTCCTCTATGTGACGCAGTTTAGTGTGAAAGGTAAACTATAGGGGCCCGCTTACATACATGCATTAACACGTGTGCTGTATGCACACAGGACAGTAAGAATCCAGCCTGAGACTTGTTCACTGAGGTTGTAGTTTAAAGGGGATATTTTTTGTTTATTGTAGATGGCAGCAGGTTCCATCACATGCTTATTTCTCAGACGGAAGGTTTTCCTAATAACATACTATACATGCTCAGCATTAGGGATGCACCGATACCGGTATTTCCGTATCGAGTACCAATATTTTTTTTTGGGTACTCGCCGATACCGGAAATCCCATTAAGGAAGCCAGGCGGCGTGTAAAGACTCGCCACCCGGCTTCCCGATTAGCAGGGAAGCCGCCCCCATGCTTCTCGTCACTAGGTGACGAGAAAGCATGGAGCCGGCTTTCTGGCCAATTAGGAAGCCGGGCTCCGTGTAATGACACGGCACCCAGCTTCCTGATTGGCCGGGAAGCCGGCTCCATGCTCCCTCGTCATGAGGTGACAAGGAAGCATGAAGCCGGCTTCCCGGCCAATCAGAAAGCTGGGTGCCGTGTAATTACACAGTGCCCGGCTTCCTGATTGGCCAGCTTCCTGACCAATTAGGAAGCCGGGCAGTGAGTCATTACACGCTGCCCGCCTTCCTGATTGGCCAGGAAGACGGCTCCATGCTTCCTCGTCCCAAGTGACGAGGGAGCATGGAGCCGGCTTCCCGGCCAATCAGGAAGCCGGGCGGCATGTAATGACTCGCTGCCCGGCTTCCTGATACCGGAAGTATCGGGCTAGACATCGGAGCTTTTGGGTGAGTACGAGTACTCGCCCAAATACTCGTCATCTGCACCGATACTGATGCTAGTATTGGTATCGGTGCATCCCTACTCAGCATTATACTGAGCAGGGTGGTCACCTGTTGGAATATATTACAATTCTATGCATTGCGTTACCGAGTGCATCATAAAAAAACCTCACATAACCCTTTATTAAATGCAGTGCTCCACAACGCATGACATGTGCATTGTGGCGTGCTGTAGCGTGGGTGTCCTGCACATTACTGTAGCAGTGCGTTGGGGTGGCACTCTGGTGAATGGCACCATAGCACATTTTATGGCATGCTACAGTAACATGTGTAAATGGATCCTAGATGTCAGAATGTACATCGCTTAGTTTAACATAAGCAGACAGGCAGACGGGCGGGAGGTTTCTTACCTAACATTCTGGCCTCCTATGCTAAGAGAACTTGTGGTGTGTGAGTTGCACCTGGCTGACATTTTGTTCTTTTGCAGAAATGGCCGAGAAGTATTTTACGGAGAGCCTCGGTGTGTACCGTACGGTGCTGGGACCCGACGACCCGCAGACACTGACCGCTTGTGTGGAGTTTAGTAAATGGCTGATACAGAATGGAAACACACAAGTAAGAGATGAGGGAGTATTTATACTTCACAGCCCCCCGGGGGGGGGGGCGGGTTATAAAAACTGAAGAGAACAAGTGGAGGTATTTTTCATAGCTAGTCTGGCCATACGCTTTACTGCGTTTTGTACATTTATAACCATCTGGTTGGCTTGAAGTTGTTGAAGAATCTTGACAGTCCACTTCATAATCATGATGTATATTCTTCTTATTCATTAGCCAGTGCAGGGAGTAAGGTACAGTATACATGGTGACCCATTAGTATTTATTAACACATAGTGACTGTACATATAGCAGAGGGTGGGGTTCCTCTCTGTGGCTGCACGCTGGATTTATGGTCTCCCAGGAGTGTCTGTCATTGGCAGCTGTTGAGGTTCTTTCTCTCGGCCCTTTTCCAAGGATTTGCCACAGCCTCCGTATGTGTTCTCAGGTGGTAATTGCCTCGTCACACTCCTTACTGGAAATCCCCAATCATGGGGGTTGCTCATAGTGGCTGCGGATGGCGCCGCCAGACATAGATGTCACCAGCACACCAGAATCATTTCAAATCCAAAGTGTTCATTTATTGAAACGTCATATCATCAGAACAAGCACTTTCGGGCCATGCAGGGTCCCCTTCATGAGGCTCCGCTAAACCTCAGTCACATATCACTCTGAAGGTCCCCACACACCTTGCGATGATCGTACGATAATCGCGGGAAATCCTCCGATCGTACGATTATCGTAAGGTGTGTGGAAGCCGTGCGACCTCTACTACTGTAAGGTCGCACGACTTTTAACTTACGGACATGTTCGAAAACCCGCCGAGCATCGTACGATAAAAGGCGGACTGCCCGTTCGGCATTGCGGTCATCGGACGCCCACCCCTAATGGGGGCGCGGCTTGCGATCATCGCAAGTACGATCTGCCTGTCCAAGATGGGCAGATCGTAAGTTTTTTTTAAGTACCTTACAACCCTCGTAAGACAAAAGTCTTGCGATGGTTGTAAGGTGTGTGCCCAGCATTAGGAGACATCAGGAAAGATGGCCCCAACAGGAGAGAACCTTTCTCCTCAGAAGACAAACCTAACTTGCATACTGGTAGTATGTGGTCTAGTTTCCAGCATCGTTCATACACAGAATGTCCCCTCTCTTATTAGTTGAGCCCCAATTGTTACACTAAGTGATGGTGAAAGAAGTGAGATCCCCCACACAGTGAATATCCCATTATGTAGCAGGGCGAACTGAAATGTTTGTACTAGCTGTGACTCTAGAAAAGCCAGGTGTGCTTCCGACTGAGAAGAGCCCCATGTTACTAGAGACAGGCTCTGGCATTAAAAAAAACATGGTCGCTTACTGGAACCTCTTCTACACACATCCACTAAACCCTTTGGTGACCATGAGCAGTTGTTTTATCTGCTTTCCAATGCAATGAGTTTGGAGAAGTGAACACTATAGGACAACATAGCTGATTTTGGAAAGATTCTCCCATCGGCTTACTGTCCAGTTCAGCGATGTTGTCCTAGATTGTTCTTTCGTGATTAACCCTGTAAATCTTCAGAATCGCCCAGTTGTGATGGGTTGTTTTCAAAATGTCTAAAGTTTGAATGCATCCTGGATAACACAAGCAATGTACAGAGTGATATTACTTGTCTGGAATTGTAATCCAGTCAGATCGATGGTAGGAGTGCTCACTTGACCTGTTAATTGTCTGATTTTTGGGTTGGATACCGTATAAATGTTGACCTGTACTCAGGCTGGGGTCTTGCATTGTGTTCTGTTCCCCACTAGGAGGCGTACAAGATGTTACACCAGGCAGTAGGTTTAGGCGTAGAGTACAATGAAACCGTATCCGAGATGCTGAGCATTATGGGAAGCATATGTCTGGCTGATGGGAAAATTTCCAAGGGTTACCGACTGCTGAAAAAGGTAACTTTTCTCTTTGTCTAGAGTCTGGGAACAATAATGTCTGAGATACAGAAACATGTACAATATAGTCCTCATCGGTTTCACAGGTGACACCACTATTTCTAGCCCCAGCTTTGTGTCACCCGTCTCCTCTTATATCATTATACGTCACTACATTTGAGTCACATGTCCCATTACTGATTGATAAGTTAATCTATTATGACTTGTTAAAGCCCTTTTGAAATTTTAGTTTAACTGCTAAATACCTTTTAGGTACTTAAAACAAAAAATGTGAAAAGTCTTCTCAAATCTCTTTCTTTAGAAAGCAACCTTAGTAGAAACGCCAGACCACTGCCAAGAAGCAAGCGTGATCTCTCTGTCCAGTCCAGCACGCCCCCCTTCTGTACCTGACATATAGCACTGCAATTAGCTCATGCTTCCAGATGATTGGAGCGCTCAAGCTTCATGGCTGGCCACACACCTATAGCTTTTTGATGGGAAATTTTCGTTGCTGCCAAGGACCCTCTTTCGTTTCTAGTTCAAATACCCCATCGTACACAGACCAATGTCGATTTCGATAATCGTTCGTTAGCAATACTAGCTCACCGAATTTTGACGCTTGACGGAACAAATTTTCCTTTGCGCATGTGCAGTGTTCTTGCTGCAACTTTTTTTTCCCCGTATAAAAGAGCCACTAATCCATCAATTTGCATTCAATTAAAAAGAAGCATTCCAGCCTGACTGACCGAGGACATTCGAGCGGGATTACAGTGAAAAGAAATCATTGGTGTCACATCAACTGTTTGATTTTCATTCGAAATACCATTCCTGCGAGGATTTCTGAATGGAAATCGAAGAGTGTATGGCCACCTTAAGTCAGCTGGGTGTAAGACCTCTGCAGAGAGACCACTGCTTCCACACACAGTGCAAGGGTTCTTCTCTACAGCACACTGGACCGGCATATACTTTTCTACTAAGGTTGTGGCTTTCGAGAGAAAAACTTGGCCCATTCACACAATTGCATTGTGTTCACGTGTTATGTGTGTTGGTGCAATGCAGTGCCATTCATTCTCAAAGGCATCCCAATGCACCTTCCTGGCAGATGCATGTTGCAGTGTAGTCCAACAATGATATGCGGTGCGCTGCCAGAAATTGCACATTCACGGTTTCTGAATGTTTGGCAGCCCATTCAAATGAATAAACTGTCCTAATGCAACACAAGTACACACACCTGCACTGATGCACCTCAATGGTGTGAATGGGCCCTAAGAGTTGGCTGACGTTAGTTTGATGTATTAGAAATGTGTTTAGCCCATTTAAACTGAAAGTTTAGTTTTGGACATTGTAATATAATTTTCTTGCAGTGTTTAGAAATCCAAGTGGCAGTAGACGGGTCCCAGCACAGTAAAAGTAGAGCAACTCAGAACCTGCTGAGCACATTACAGAAGTAAGTTCTCTTTACTACACTATGGTATGAAGGGGTTCTGCTCTTCTCTTATGGAAGGGTTCATCATTGCAAATCATCCTAATTCTAATGTTTCTTGCAGGTCTGGAGCTGTGGGGGACTGATCAATACAGATCATCATTGTATAATGCTAAGGAGAATGTCAGTAACATATAAGCTAGACTAGAGGTGGAAAGCTCACATTCTGATGCCCTCTTAGTAACATCAACAACCTCATCAGCCCTTTTAAAAAGAATGATCTTGGCTGACCACCTTCCAAACATGACAATTACCTGGTTGCTCCTTCAACTTATAGAGGGAGGAGTCAACTACGGGTTGTTTGGCTATACCTTTGCATCTACTTTGAGTATCAGAGCCAGGAACTCAGCACAGAGATCTATAAGAAATAGTCAGGTGGCTTTACTCTTCAGCTCTAGAAAGCCCAGCACTACCTGCAATTACTACAATTTCCGTAGTTTGTGTACAATGGGAAACAAAGGCTGCCATTGCTGACTTGCTGTTATGCTGAACCCTCTGCTTCACACACTCAGACCAAGTGTGCAAATAAGGAAATGCGTGTGACCTTTCTGGTATGCATACTTTTTCCACTCAGATTTGGGAAATCCCCATTACAGGTTTGTGTGTTCCCATTCACACAGCATACCTAAAAATATAGATTCATTGTTTCTGACCTTTTATACAGTTTCTTTGGAGCAAGGTTATATATTAAACATTGCAGGCAGCTTTTATTGCCTTAGAATTGATGGCTATAAGGGCCATAAAAGAGAACTATGAGGTAACCTTTATTTTCCCCTTAGTTCTCTTTAGGGTCCCAGGAGGACATATACTAATGTTTTCCCGTGATCCAATGCTCAGTATATAGCAGGCTATTGACCGCTATATACTGAGACCGCTGTAGCCGGGACCCAACAATACTGTCGAGATCCACCCAGCTGCGTGAGTGACAGCTGGCTCTGCCTATCTAGGGGCAGAACCAGCTGTGCCCGCCCCCTCCCCATTCTCCCAGTCAGCGATGGAGGATTGGAGCAGGGAGGAATCCCTGCAGGAAGCGGTGACTGACAGCCACCGCTCTCTGCAGGGACAGGATTGAGAAGTGAGGGAGCGATGGTATGTTTTCGATCACTTCCCGATCTGTAGAGCCGACGTGTGACAGTCTCATTGTCACAGGTCGGCTCTAACTATGACGATGAGTGATTTTCACTCCTCATAGTTCTCCTTTAAGAATGAGGAACATTTTTTTAAAGTGCCTTAACGTACAACTGTTGATTTTTTTAAATATAATTGAACAAAATAAATTGTACATTAAAGAAAACAGTGTGTGTGTCTGTGTAAATGAGAGCTTACTAGCAAGTCCCGCCTTTGTACATCACTTGTCAATAGTGAGAACTGTTCCAAATAAATCTGAAAACTGGAAAAGCAAACATACAAAAGCAGCTCCGGGAGCCTCTACTGACTGGTATGCAAAGCAGCAGAGATTGAGGGACTGGAACAGAATTTTTTTCCTTTTAATATATAAAACAGACAGTCTGCAGACAAGCCCGGTACAGAACGTATCCCCCTTCCCAGAGTTCACACACGTTTCTTAGCCAGCCTCTGGCGTTTGAACTGCTTGTCCTTGCGTTTGATGCGCGGTTTTGGTAAAGGTGCTGTTGTCTCGATGATCTCGGGTTTCTTCTCGGCGGGGGTGTTGAAGACGTCCTCTGTGGGGTCCCGTGAAATGATTTCTTTGTCTTCCAGCTTTCTCACTTTCTGCAGCTCCTTCACCTGCTGCTTTTCTTTGACTTTGGCAGCCGTGGCTAAGCGGATCATCCGCCGGTGCTGAAACATAAGAACACCATTAGATGTGAGATTTCACTTCCTGGAGAAATCTATCACACACTTGTTGCTGCAACAACTATATAAACTGGGAGATTTCTTCTCTACATTTGCTGCACAAAAGAAGCACGGCTCCCCCATGGCTCAGGACAGGAATGGGCCGAGTGCTTGCCACTGGGAGCACGTCCTCGCTGTAATAGGAGCCCATACAAACAGACGAAAAGCTGTCCGCACACCGGGAACGTTTACAGAAGGTTGTTCCACATCACTGGCATCCTGCCCAAGGACCACCCCCTCTGACATGTTTCACCCAATCAGAGACCTCGGGCGGGACACCAGTAGTGTGGTACAACCTTCAGTAACTATCCCAACGGAATCCGGTGTGTGGACACTTTCTTCTGTTTGTATGCTGCACGGACAAACTGGAAAATGTTTGCTTTCCACTCACTTTCTGTTGATATCAGAAGATAAAGCGAAGGCGACTTTCCCCAACAGGGGCAACTTTTTATCTAATAACATTTTTTTTTACATTTGCCAGTCTACCCAAAAAATTAAGATATATATTATATTATT